AACGTTAAGGATTGCATGCAGGTGGTTATTAAGGGAAATTGTTTCTCCATGGTGACGTTGCTCGGCTGTCGGTAAATATAGCGGGCTTTACGCAGACAGGACGAGGACGGAGAAATTGCTCAAACTGGCTTTGTAGTCCCTATAAATGTCTTCTTCCTTCGCCTCTGTGTTTCTGCTCTTTTTTCCTCCGCTGACAGTCTGTTCCTGCCTTCTTAACAGGACTTCATTCCTCTTGCTAACTCTCCTCCTGTCGTCCTTCCTCCCTGACTCTTACTCCTGTCCTTCCTGCTCCACTTTTCTTCCTTCGTCCTTTGACACTGCCATCACACCTGTCCTTCCTGCCATCACTCTTCTTCCTTTGTTTTTTTTTTTATATGACTTTCTGTCTTCTTCTTTGCTGCTTTTCCTTCCCTCCTCCTTCCTCTCCCTCCCTGCACACAGCCATATGCAGCTCTGTAAATGGCAGGATGCTGTGTGGTTGTGATGTGGTCTGGCTGTGGTCTGTTTGCACTGCCACTGTGGTTCATTCTGCTTACCAGCCTGCTGCTTCACCCTGTCTGGACCCGGCCGGCTGCCCGCCCGCCTCCCCGGCTGGCTGGCTGGCTGGTCGTCCGATTGACTGACTGCTGCGTAATTGAGGCGGTAGATGCACCACACATAGATGCTACCACTGTCGCAAGCCTGTCACAAACCATTACAAACTATCCCGTCGCTGCAGAGACCAAGGCCAGCCATCAGAGTCGCATTTACTGCCCTGTTTTCAACTTAATGCCCCCGCCGTCTAAATTTTCTGACAATACCACCAAATGGCATTTATCATCCAATAATTGCAGCCTGCAGAAAACCGGTCAGTGAGAATGATTAACGCGATGACTCATGGGCTGTGTTAGCCCACCTGATGGGAGCGGTGATGTATTATGTGGAGCAGAGGACGGAGTCTGTATCCGAATGTGGGTAAAAAGTGTGTGCCGTCTGTGTGTTTTGGCACATACAGCGGAGCAGTTACATTAAACAGTTATATCCAGAGAGACGCAAATTGAAAAGGTGACCATTTTGGGGTAAGTGCAGTAATAAGGTAATGTGGTAAAGCGAGACTTTCCATATGTGTGTTTCGCTGTCTGTGTGAGAGAGAGAAACCGAGTCAGACAGAGAGCAGACAGAGAGCGAGAGAGGAAGAGGAAACAGGAGGAGGGTTGCTGCCAGAGGGTGAATGTTGGAACATAGAGCATGCTGTGTTGATTTGATTAAATTCAGTTCTGTTCTATTTGCAGTAGGCCTAGTTACTCAGCTATATTTGTACAGTGCTGTCTGCAGAGTTTTAACAACACTGACACAGATCCGTGTGAGAGCGGGAGGCCTGGGATTAGGCTGCAAAATACACTTTTGAAAAGGATACGCCAAGTTTTGGGGGAGATTAGCCCCGTTTGTGCGGTTTATTTAAATTAAACCATGTGTCCCC